AACACCCTGTATCTTTTTGATCGAACCTCTTACACTTCCAGTCGCCCTATCTATACCTCCCGAAAGGGACCCTTAGCCCTAAACCTCAAACCCAAAAGCCCCATAAACCCCAGACCCTGCGACACAAAAACTCAACACCACACCCCAAAACAATCCGATAACCCTAAAAAGCTCAAGAAGAAATGCGCCTAGACCTGCTCAACTTTATAAACCCCATAAACCTATGTCCCGAAGCCCTCCAATCCCTAATTCCCCCCAAACCCTAAACCCTATCTCCCCTACATAAACCCTACAAGCCCTAACCCCTGCATTCCCTAGCAACCCCATAAGCCCTAAACCCAAATTCCCCTATTCAAACCCGATAAAGCACCCTAAACCCTAGCAGATCTGAAACAGTGCCAATGTAGTGCCATCAAGTCAGCTCATGAAGGACAGCTACTGGGACACTCGCACCCGAAAGACACCAGATTTTCCCAGTAGCTTCCCTTTATGCTGTATGATTAATAAGGCTCCTCGTAGCAGAGTGCGCCAGTAAGACAAAGAGTTCTGTGTCGTATCGAGCTTCATGTAGTTCAAGGCTGCCGCTAAGCAAAAAACAAGTCGTCGTAGCAGAGCGCCAAGAAGCAAGCCTATTCTCGGATATGCCGCGGCATAGCAGAACATGTGCTAGACTCTTGCCTCTTGGTTCCTGTCGTTCGTGGTGTCAGTGATCTGCATGGGGCGACTGCTGTGGGTACTCTGCAAAGCTTTGCTGGATAATGAAGGTGCTACGGTCGAAGCCTAAGCCTAAAGTCGAGTCGAACGAACGGAAAACATTGGGGTCAACCGACTTCAACTTCAAAGTCTCGTACTCTGATTGGCTCTTGGCCGGCTGCAAAGGTCGAACAAGTTGCTGCCCAGGTGTTTAGATGTCAGGCCGCCTCAACTCTCCTCGTGGATTGCCAAGGTTTCCACTGGCGACCATCATCACCCCGAACTTGCCCGAGGAGCGTCTTTCTTCAAAGGGGTTTGAGGTCGTTTCAAAAGGCACCCCAGCCATTGTTTGACAGCTGTTGACAGTTTGCAGACCTCCACCTCTTTTGCCGCTGCAAAAAGGTCCCCCCTCCCAAAGATTGTTGAACCAATGGTATTGTAAAGTCGATCAGGTAGACATCGTACACTAACCGCTTAATGTCGCCCCTTTCATGCGAATCACACTGCAACTGAAGCCCTCTCCTGCGAGGCGAGGCTTCTTTTGGGCCGCGATGGCATCGACACGGCCGCGAGCTCGGGAGACGTTCAATCCATGTCGCATCATGGAATCTTGTAGGCAGGACTCGGTCGCGACGGACCTGGGTGGAGCTGCGAACGTCGAACCATCAAATTGCATGTGGGTGCTCTGACATGCGACACCCTCACCGCAACGCTTGGAGGAACTCTTTGCTCTTAGCCTTTTGCTGCAAAGAGCTCGATGGGGCCGTGAGTGCCTGAGGTCGAAGCCATGCAGCAGGCTGCCAGGGAGCTTGCGGCCATGGGCCCTGACTGGGTTCTGGTGAAAGGCGCTTTGGCAGATGTTTTGCTTTTGAGTTTGGCTGGGCGTATCCTTGCCCACACTGGTCACTCTAGTCTCAACGACGTCGTCTGCATCACGCTAGGCGGTCACCTTGCTGAGAGTCTGGGACTGAGATCGACTTCTGGGACCTTGACCATGGAGGTCTTAGGGCGCTTTGCTTGCATGTTGCAAGCAGTCGATGGGGTCTTGAGGCGAAGATGAGCTGGAAGCGCCGCTTGGTGAGTGAATCAACTCTGAACTGTGTCAGTGGCCTGAAGTCTTCCCTTAAAAGTTTACTCCATTTCAGGACAGATGTTTTATGCGACGGTGCAACTGGCGAATGCACGGCCTACAAGTCGTCGATGCTCAAGACTTCGCACACCCATGGCACAGGACGGGCGCCTGCTTGAAGGTAGCGATTCCTGAAGACTCAACAATTCGGAACTGCGTCTTGTCAACTCACAGTGCGAGATATGGCTCAGGGGCCCTAAAGACCAAAGAGCCACAAGAAGTCAAGCCCAAACTTCCAAGTTGGTTTCGGAGAGAAGGCTGCACGCTGGCATCCTCCATCGCCAGCTGCCTGGCGAGGGGCATGGAGATGCCCATGGCTGTCCAGGTGCAGGGGCTTAGGGTCATTCCTGGACATCCCCATTCTAAGCACATGTTGTCAGCATTCGGCTTGCTGAAGCCTGCAGGTAGCATGTAGGCGCATGTAAGCATGGAAGAGTGCGATGTCAAGCGTTGCTGCACCGATGGACGATGGAGAGAAGCTCTTCGAAAGCCTGCCAGGAGGCAAAGCGCTATGTGAGCGGCGCCATTGCTGCGTCGACGCATCTTGGCCCGTCGCAGACGCGTGGTATTGGGGACCCCAAGCCTGCAGTCGCTGCAATGCTGAGGCACCTGGCTTTGGGACATGGGCCGCAGGGGCCTATGAACCACAGCCTCGGCCTCATTGGGAGCTTAGCAGTTGGCCGGACAGGGATTGATAACCACGAAGGTGATTCAGCTTGGCTGTCGCTTGCGGGGAAAGGGTCTTGCATACCCGAGGCTGGAGACTTTTCGAGTGGTGAGTCGTCGGAAGCCTGCATCAACTGCCAACAGTGGTATTTGCGGGCACAAAAAAAGATGCAGAGGAGGATGCCCTCATGCCAAATTCTTGCCATGTACGTCAGCTTTTTAGAGGGGTCGCAGCGACCCACGCAAGTCATAATCGACAGATATCGACAGCCTGGAATATCAGGTGCTGTGGCTTTTGAAACTCGCCCCCTACAGTAGTGAAGCGGGAGATCGTTGTGTGTCCGATGCAGGCTAAGGGGGGGCAGCGGGAGTGGCAGGGGCGGCAGCACGTGAGCATCCCCTGGCCTTGCAGTTTCGTGCCAGTGCGTTTGCGGAGGTGAAACAGATGTCTTCGTTTGCAGACACCGTCGGCAAGGAGTGCCATTGTTGACCGAAAGCGCGATGAAGGTCAACCTTTGCTCTGTCTGACCGCAGCCGAAAAGCCATGAAATCGTCGAGTCTCAGGCAGCAAGGGTAGCACAGGTGAGGTGCGCTACTGTAGCTGCTGTAGCTGGTGTCCCGGAAGATGTCCTCCGGAGTCGAGTCTCTATTCGGCTCATGCTGGCTGGAAGGATTTGCGGGCATCGCACATCGACATTGCAAATGGCGCAGACAAGAGCAGCTCCCATTGGCAGGCACCAGTCCGGGTTCACAGGTCAGGGGTGCTCACAGTTCGAGGCCATAACCCTGATGAAAACCGTTTTTGTGATTTTGCTAACCATGGTCCAAGTCGCACGTGGCTGATGGACTGGAGCTTGTGCATGCTTCCACCTGTGCTACAACACACCTCCACTCACATCCATGGGGTTGTCGGAGGCATTCCAGATTCCAGCGGGGCTCACATGGTGGCACTCCTGTCCCCTGCTGCCCCAATCTGCCGCAGGCGGTTCAGACATCGGAGATGGCGGCGCTCTCAGGTGAACAGACTCGGCTAAGCAAGAGCTCTGACCGATTGCTTGCTGAGCTTGGTGGAAGACTTGCGCTTTTTTCCTTCTCAATTGCCAGTCCCCAGTTCATATCGTAGAACGTAGCCAAGCCACGCCACTGTCAACAACACACACGCGCATACGGCTTGACGTACTCTTACTGTACACTTGCTGTACTGCCAGCAGACCACCAGCAGGAGCAGACAGCCGAGCCCTCCACCTGGCAACTTACCAATCCACGTACCCTACGCCTTAGAGTCCTAAAGCCTTCAAGCCATGCCAATGCTACAAGCCATGGACCTTGACTTTGTGCTGTTTTGTCCAAACAGGGTTCACCCCACATGCCACCATAGCCTATATTTGCACACATGCAACCACCTGGCGCCAATGGTCTTCGTTGAGAGTGCCACGATCGCCCATCCTTCGGAACAGAAAGAGGTGTGGGACGCAGGTCATGTTCTGCATGTTTCCAGTTCGGTTTTCGCAGGGTGTTTCAGGGACTTGGAATTTGCAGGACTTCGTGTCGAGGTCGTACTTTCACTTGTTTGCCTTAATCTTCTGGATGTCCAGGCGCTCTGTGCATGTAAGTGCCGGGGGAGAGGAGGAGGGGGTCGAAACGTGCAGCTTTCATTGGGGGGGCCCCCTGTCCCCAGGAACCTGGGGGGTGTGCCACGGATGAGGAGGCCAGGCATGGATGTTCAGGGGGACGTGGGTCGGGTGTTGTCCCACAAGATCCGATTGGCAGCCTCGAGCTTATGTGGAGCTCTTGACGGTTGGACTGTTGCGTTCCTTCGGGTGAGCGCCCCGCAGCTAAGGAGCAGCTCGGAAGGAGAAGGGCAGCGGTGCCAGGGCCTTCCCCGGTCTTCACTGTGCAGAGACAGCAGAAGCAGCTTGATTCTTGAGCAGCCTTGCACCGGTTGAGCTGCCGAGGAATCCCTTTGCGGAGGACCTTCTCAATGATGGCAAGTGCGAGGGCCTCATGCTTCAGCGTGTTGCGTCGGTTCGGTTTTCGCGATCCGTCCAGGTTGTTCATTGCAAGTGGAAAACTGCTGGATCCTGCCTAGGCACGCTCCCGAAAATCCCGGAGGGCGATGCGGTGAAGCCTGGCAGCGAGGCGTGGCAAAATGTGGCAAATTGCTACATATCCGAATGTATCTGATCATATCCGCACAGCCAGGGTCCCAAGAATGGAAAGCAGCAACTTCATGCAACATCGTGCAACCTTTGCAGGGACAAGCCTCACCATCCAAGCCGAATGAGGGCTCCCATGCGACGTGGCGGAATACATAGGGCGTCACGGCAAGGGCACATTGAGGTGAAGAGAGGGGGAGGCTGCTGGCTCTTCCACAGGCAGATTCGAATCGCTTGCTTGCAGTCTCGGGCAGTGGGCTGGCATGAACAAACAAAGGTGGCAACATAGGGAGGAAGATGAGAAAGAGCAGAGCAGGATTGTAATTGATTTCTTGAATCTTGAGGCGTCTGTTGAAATGGAGCTGCGCGGGGACTGGGCTGGTTTCGATCTGCTGCCTTTTGGCGACAAGAGCTTTCGCGATTGTGACATTGTGTAGAGCCTTTGGAGTCGTCTGGCGCTTTGTACGGCGCTATGCTCAAGCCCAGTCGCACCGTTGGTTGGTGTGTCCTTCGCCACCTGATCCGACGCCTGTCTGCTTTGCGCGCTCAGACGTGATACGTCCAAGGACAGTGGGTGGAGAGAAACTTGTAGTGCATCGCCGTGGGAATCTGGTCGTTGTCTCCGGCTGCATCACCACCGTGTGGGGGACCTGTTGAGACTTGAGACGGCAGGCATACTAGGAGGGGGCCATGGGCTGACCCCTCACGCATGGAGAAGTGAGGTCTCCGATGAAGCAGAAGGCGAACTTTGACCTCAACGTCGGTCAGGCATCCTGCTTTCGATTCCGAAGCCAGTAAAATATCCTGGCCGGTACTTCAGCTGCATTGCAGATGATGCAGGTGCCTTTCCACTGCAACCCGCAGCGCTTCGTTGCCTTCGTGGCGCCAACTGCCATGTCCCGATACGAAGGCCTCAAAAGCATTTGGAAGCCTTAAGCTGCAGCACATTCCTGAGAATCAGCTTGGAACGAGGCATCAAGCAGTGTGGTACCAGTTCTGTATTGCGAGACGACGGCCAAGCCCTCGACGTGCCGGCATGCATCGGCATACCGAAGCATACGGAAAAAAACATTCCAGTCAATATGTTCCTTATGGTTTACCCAGGGGTGTTTCAGCGTGTGCTTAGGCAAGCTCATGATCAACTTCAACAAGAGCCTTAGTGACTTCTGATTCTGCGCGTGCGTTTTCACTGTCTCTTGCTGTGGGCTGAATGCTTTCCTCAGGGAAGGTTGCGGGCCTCATCGCGCATGCAAGTCCAATGAGCGCATGTTTGGGAAAAGGGGCTCTCCGCTAAGTGCGCCGGTCCGGCAAGGAACACCAATCCCATGGTACTGCACTTCTCTGGGCTGGCCTACAACATTCGAGGCACGGCCGCGGCAATTCGCAAGTAATTAAGAAAATTGGCACCAGAAGTTCAAGCCGTCTTCGGCTAAACATCACCGACTTTTTGGAGCAACGGCAACAAATAGCATCCTCGAGGCGAGGCGGAGGAGGAGATCGAGGTCACGGAAAAGGAGCGCAAGAAACCCGGCAAGGACGGCTGACATGCTACAGTACGCTACGCTGAAATCTTGTGGCATGCTTGGAAGGTTTGATCCGTGAAAAGTTGTGTGCCCGAGTCGCTTCCGGAGGACGTGAAAGACATCACGGGCAAGGGACAGGGCAAGGGCAAGGACTGCAATGGTCTGCAAGAGCTGCAGCGATACCAGATTACGTACATGCTGATCACAGCAAAGAGTATCTGCGCTTCCAAGTTGAAGGACGAGGACGCGTCGCCCACCCGGCGCCAGGTCCTGCGGGCCTCCCAGCAGGAGAGGGCCCACGTTGCTGAATCGCAGGTGCTGCTGCGTTAGAACATGCGCAGACTTTGATCGTTTATCACAGGACCCTCCAGGATTGCAGAGGGACAACGGGATCGTGACACTACAGGCCACGGACCGTAAAGTTCTAAAAGCAGAGCGAAGTTGAGAATCTCGGATCAGGGAAAATCAGAAATCAGCCTGCGAATCAGGAACCAGTGCGAGACAGAAACAATAGATCAGAGCATCGGAAGCTGGGTGCGTGGGGCGAGGGATGGCGCGGGTGCGATTTTTCCGTCGACCTTGAATTTTGTGGACTTGCGGGCCGTCGCTGTGTGAAGCACGCGGGTCAGGGCCAGCTTCTCGAAGCCGTCTACGGCTTCTCCAGCCTGATGGTTGGCACCCTGCCGGAGGCATCAGCTCTGAATGTGGGGAGTGATAGGGAAACCATCAGGCATCAGGTTACTATAGGTAGGTGTACCTTTGAAAAGGTCTTGGTGGTAAGCACTCAGGATTCCCAAGCCATGGGCTCTCCATGTTCTTTTTGTTACATCCTGTAACTTTGCCTTCGCAGGGTTACCGGCCGAAGCGGGAGATCCGCTGCCTTGCGACTCTGCTGCGCATGCCCAAGCAGGCCGGGAGCCAATGCTGTTGTGTGGGGAAGGATGTCGCCCCTGCATCCAGCCAGCATCCTGAAGAGACGTTGGCATGCAGTTGGGAGCAACCGGGAAAACCAAAGCAACTCCACGTCGCTCTATCTACGACAAGCTACGTAGCTAAGTCGCGTGAAGCACTGCCAAGCTTGCGTACTCCATACCGTGCTTCACCATCGTGCTGCTCGGAAATGGAATCTGACCGATAAGACGTGCCGCAGCTGAGCCACCTCTCTAGGACGATTTCGCATGCTGTCCTATCGCAGTGTCTGGGATGCAAGATGCAGGGCTCAGATCCTTGTTGCTGAACTTTACTCAGGGGCCGTGACAATGAATGAAGGCAGATTCCAGAGTGCGTCATGGCAGTTCGTTGCAGTCCCCGCTAAGGATCAGAGCATTGCAATGACTGTGAAGACTGATGGGAATATCTTCGTCCAGGGCGGAAACCAAAATTTCGTGGACCAGAAACCTGGCTAGGCTTATGTCATAAGTGGTGTGCTATCACCACGACACGACGCGGCTTTGAACAATCAATTGCGTTGGCAGAAAGCACTTGCGGCCTTGATGTTCACATCGGCACCGCCTCTGATTCCAATGACAAATCTTGCTGAGGAAAGGCATAATGCGCGTGTTGCCGCAGAGGAAGCGAGGAATTCTGAGCTTTGATGGAATCAGCTTCTCTCAAGCCAGCAACGGGCCGCCAGGATGCAGTTCGAAACACTCGTAGAAGCCACAGAGTCCCAGGGTCCCAGCAGGAAGGCTCAAGACACTTCAGGCTGCCGGTGACCCTGGCTCCCGGCCTTGGCAACAAGCAGAATGTGAGCAAGCTCATGGAGCAGCTCCGGCTTTTATAGAAGGGGGCTGCAAAGGGTTGTTGCAAGGGGCTTCGGCTGCTATGCTGAGGCATCTCAGGCTTTTAATCGCACAGTGCTGAGGAGGCTGGTCGGAAATCGCGATGACTCGGCAGTGGCCTTGAAGCATGGCGACGTGGTCCTGCCACTTGCCCGCGCGTGGATCTGCGTAAGATGCCCTTAGGGGAGCCACTGTACCCAGCTGTGAGCCAGCAACAAGTGGCGAGTACTGTGGACTTGCTTTCGCACCCCCCATGGCGCACGAATGCAAATTGGGGGATCGCTTGTCAGGCTGGAAGGAGGCTTAGACTGGCCGCTTGGTTCAGCAATTCGCCAAGATGCAGTGCGCAGGAGGTGGTTCTGAGAGAAGTATCTTCGACCTGTTGTTGGTCCTTGGTCCAACTGTTGCAAGTACCCTTCGGTCCAGCACCCGAGGACCAGCAGCAAGCAGCTCAGTAACAAGCAAGTCATCGCCAGACTGCCAGAAGGCCCTGGAAGAACCCACCGTCACTTAATGTGGTCCTGGAGCTTGCGGGAGGCTGTTGGCCACGTCGGCGCGAGATTTTCTTTACTCGCGGTCGAGACGAGGACGCAAACTCTTCCATTTGTCCCCAGAAAATTGTCGGATGTGACGTTGAGGCTTCAGCTGGGCAGTATTGCAGTCGTGTGCTGAGCAGTTGAGCTTCTGCTCGGGTGAGTTGTAAGAGAATTCTTTGGGTATGAAGCTCTTGTGAGCAGCAGTGCAGTTTGCACAATGCTCGGCCGACAGGAGCGCCGACGCGTGGATATTGACAGATGGGGGCGCATCTTTTGCCCAGAAGGCTTCAGCCGAAATGAGAAGCTCCCAACAAAAAAACCCTGAATGCATTCATGGTGCAGTACTATGAACTGAGAACATGAGCGCCGATTCTTTTGGTGCCACCAATCACAGGCGAGGACAGGACGAGCGAAGGCGGCCATCTGGAGCTTAGTGGCCCCTCAGCCATGAAGAAGGTAAAATTATGTGAAACCGAAACTGCACGCAGGAGGTGAAGAGACTGCACGTTTGTGATCACATTTGTTTGTTGAGCCGGGGGCAGACAAGGCGCCACCCTGCGAATGCTACCTCAAGTCTCTGCATTCACTTTAGGAAAGTGACAAATGGCCAAGTGGAAGAGTGACTTGTACGAAAGCTCAACAATTTGTATAAGCAAGCTCAAATTAGGGAGAAGCGAAAGTGTGTCACAGGGTATCTGGCTCTGTCAGGAGACCTTTCTGTCTTGCTGGCATGGGGGGTGTGGGCAACCATGTGGCGTGTCCCAGGCATTTGCTTCATCGCTGCTTCGGAGCCGCCTCTCACTTCGCCGCTAGATGCGGATGTCGACGATCTGACGCTGGGTCTTGAGGTAATCTGACCTTGATTGTGCGAAAACGTCAATGCTTCAGCGGCCGCATGCTGGCCTCGTCCATTCAGCGATTCTGGCTCGCGATGTTTCGGAGTCCTTTCGCAGAAGCCCCTGGAGCTATTCCAACAGCCTTTCCTGTGTGATCCAAGGAAGCTCTCGTACAACCGCACTGTAGTGGACGTGGTGGCTTTGGCTGGTGGTAAGTGGGGGGTGGTCGTACTCTGGTTCCAAGCATGTCCTCCCTCATGACATGTCTTGAGTAGGTTTGTCCATTTTTGGGGGGCCCCAGGTTTAAGAAGTGCACACGGGTTGCACACCCGCGAAACATACCCCGAAGCATACCCCGAAACATACCCCCGAAATTGCAGGTAAAGTAGCTCATGATGCCGCGAAACATATTTGAAACATACCCCGAAACATACCCCGAAATCCCAACACCTGTTCCCCCGCCCACCCCCCCACGCCGCGCCCCCCCCCCCACACCCCCCCCCCCACCCCCCCACCCCCACCCCCCACCCCCCCCCCCCCCCCACCCCCCCCCCCCCCCCCCCACCCCCCCCCCCCCCGATATCGAACAAACCCATCTCTCGACACCTTCAGCATAGCCAGTGATAGAGCCTCTTGGACTCGTAAGGCTGCGGGCTCCTACAAAGGGCACGAGCAGCTGGAGCAGTTCATACGGCGGTGCAATCACTACGCAGCTAGCCTGGGGACAACGTTTGGTTTTGGTGTGAAAATGCGGCTTTTCGAGACAAAAAAGCTGTGAAGAAGTGATTTCTTCAGGACTTGGTGCGGAGAAACATGAGGGTGGACTAGAGGTATTGATGGTTTGGGCCAAAGGCCATGGGCTTCCAGTTCAGCCCCAAATCCTGCCCCGTCATCGACGCCTTCATTCACTAACACAACATCCCGAAGTTGTAAGTATGTTGTAAGTAATCATTGCCCTCGTGCGTCATTTTCCTTTTGCAAGCCGAGCCATCGCTAAGCAACCAACAGCTGGCACTTGGACACTGGGTTTTTCCAAGGAGTGGAACCTGCTGAAGTACAAGATGGGGCAGCACGCCGGGCGAAGAATGATCACCCCTTTGGGCGACGCATTGCTTCGGGGCACCTGGGCAGTCATTTTCAAATTCTGGGCTGAGGAAGACTCGTTAAAATGGTGGTGTCCTTTCCTTTTTCGGAATCGTGATAAAGTGCCTGTGTGAGGACACAGTCTGTGTCTGGGAGCCCTTTCGGCTAAGTTACTTTTTGGGCGAGCCGTAGTCATCATCGCGGCTAGATTCTTCTTTTTCGCAGGTCCGATCCGAGGGTTCGCCAAGTTGCGAGTGCAGAGACTCTGGAGTCCTGGAGTCGTTGTGGGGTGGGGGGGGGGGGTGGTACTTGTCGAAACCTATGATGTTGGCACGTGTTGGCACGCAACATCCTAGTGGGCCAGGCTGGGAGCGTGGCAACGAGTACAACCTCGACAAAGATTGCCACCGAGACTTGGCCCTGATGCCATGACACAGATAGCCACATGAGATCATGCTGAAGCGCATGTAACGCTCACGTGAAGCATGGGTCGCCATGCGTGGAACATATGACCATGCCAAGAAAGAAGTTTGGAATGCGACCTCTGAACCAAGACGTCCCTGATGAGAAAGCTTAGTCATGGAAGCAAGCAGATTTGGGCAGAGCCACGAGAAGCTTGCCGAGAGTTTGCTTCAGGTCTTTGGCGGGATGTGCTGAGGCAGCCGATGGATGAGCCTTGCGCTCAGTGCAAGTATCTAGGGATACCTCAAAAGCAGCGCAGATGTCCATGGACGCTTGCCAGCTCCGACAAGGCTATGGGGCATCACCACATGGCATACCTTGATGCACCTGTCGGATGCCATGCTCGACAAGGCCCATTTGCGAGAGTAGTGTAATGATGTGTATACTGTTGTTCTGCTGGTGTTGCTAGATTTGCCCTTGAGTGTTGTTCTTCTTAGTGTTGACTTGTCGATGCGATTGGTGTTCGCCGCTCGCGCGGGACTGCGTAGATCATTCTGGGCGGCAAGAGCACTCACCATTTCCCAGCCATCAGACACCATAATTATGCCACCACACACCTATCACCACTCACCGATACCCATTGCCAAGTTTCCACCAATACCAACCATGCTCTATCACCGGCCAAGACCACTGCCCATACCCACCACTACCCACCCACCATCCGCCCAGCATTCCCACCACCTTTTCTCGCACCCTCGACCATCCCCATGCCATTCCCCCATTCCCGCCATTTCCCCATTCTCCCTTTCCACATCCCGTCGAGTTTGTGGAAGCAGAAACCGAAAACCCTATCTACACCCTCAAATAAGGATGGGGATGATGGGGGGCCCAAGGCCCAAAAAAGAACCGGCATAATAAATTACAACCGTCGCCGACTGAGAATAAAGAAAAACAAAGCGAGAATATGAAAAAACAAATCATGCCTGTCTTTAAGCGCCTTGACAAATCCGCATGGGCAATGTGGAGCCTTGCGGGGATTGCAAGAGGGACAGAGATCTGCAGCGTAACGTGGCTTATAGAGGCGTAAAGGGGCGGCGGGGCTATCAGGCTGAAAGAGGTGTACAGCAAATCGACCAAAGGAAACATGTTCTCTGGAATAGAGGCTGAAAGAGGCGTGGAATACAAAGAGGCTCCCCCGGAAAAGAGACTTAGAGGCTCCACGCCCCACGCAATTGCTGCCCGCTGTCCCTGCCGCTGATGGAGCTTTGCACGATCGCCTTGATGCATTGCATGTCGGGAAGCGTAAGGGGTCTAAACCCTAAACCCTAAACCCTAAACCCTAAACCCTAAACCCTAAACCCTAAACCCTAAACTCATTGGCCAGGTGCTGGATTGCTGCAACGACAAGCTGACCGACCGGGATCGGAAGCTGCTGAAAAAAACCAAGCGCCTCTGTGAAGGACAGCAGTGCAAGAAGGAAGAGCTAGCATTGTGAGCCCTCCCATGGGCATCCCCATGCCCCTCTGGGCACCTCATGCGGCGTCGACTTCATGCACAGGCGTTCACGTTGGTTCACGTGCATGAGGTTCCAGACATGCCCATATAAATGATACTGTAGGTTCTTCCTTACCTCTGCGCGACACCAGTAGGGAAGCGGGTGCTGGAGCTGATTCAAAAAAGGCATTAGGGGCCACGGCCAGACCAAGCGAGCGGCCAGTAGCCATGTACCTCAGAGGAGGAACAACCCGATTGCTGATCTGTAGCCTCTTCGGGTCCACTGATTGAATTTACGTTGCACGCGTGCAGACTCGATTGTGAGGCAGCATGGCCCACTAACGGATAGGTGGTTCTGCTCACGCTAAAGTATGCGAGAGTGAGCGACGAGACCTGGCTTGATGAAGCATGATCAAGCGATTCCTTCGAGGAGAACAAGCCGAATACCCCGACCAAAGCTACTGGCATGACCACGGGAACTCCAGCCACTTTCCAATCAAAAGACCACCTGCGCCACGCACGCCGGTTCGATGGTCGACTTGTCGAGCATCAGAGCACGAACCAGAGGCCCTCAGCCAAAAGCGAGGGTTCAATACAGCCACTATGGGGGGCAGAAAGGGGGAAAAGCAGCGAGGAGGATTGCAAGCGACACCGACCCGAGTGCTATACCACGACCATGCGCGACACAAGCCATGCGTGTGGCCAAGCCATGACATGCCAGTACTGAGTTCTAGGCCAGTGCGTGTAAAACCCTACCAGACGGGTCAACAAGAGATGCCAGCCTCAGCACAAGGGGGAGGTTGATCTTCTGGCAGAAGCCCGGTTTCTCGACGTGCAGGAAGAAGCCAAACACATGCCACACCGAGAAAGCAGCAACTTGCATTGGCTGCCTGATTGTGCACCACAGAGCAGGTTATTTATTTCGAATTCCTCTCTAAGTTGGTGACGACCACATTGCAGCCAGCAATGGTTCGACCAAAATCACAGGACAACTTGGAAGGGGGCCCGGTCACACAGCCAAATGGTAGCTCGGCAAATGCGAAACGCCCAAAGAAGTGAAAAGAGGCAGGAGTGATTTTACATATCTACCTTGAAATGGCACGTTGTTTCCGCACCCAGGGGACCCCACCAAAAATAGCAACCTCCCGTGCGCACGAACAAAATTTGCACTCTTGTTGCCCAAAGCTGCCAACCTGTTGGTGTGCAGTTGCCCCTGAATAGTTGGAGTGCAGACAAAAAGAGGGAGAGCCCACAGCCAGAAGAGGACATGGTACTCTCCCTCACTTCCAGTACTTTATGCTGCTGCTACTGCATCTTCCTACGAAGCGAGCCTTGCACAACTGGGACCTGGGAGAGAAGGGATCCACGCCGTGCAAGACCGAACACCCTGGCCCGAACACTGGAGCCACTAGTGCACGGAGAGACGAGTGATGTCGAGTTATACTCACCTGGTTGTTCCTGACTCACAAGCTTGGGCTGGACGCAGGTCCTCGGGCGAATGCTGGCCCACAGACCGACAGGTGGTCACCGATAGTTCTATGCTGATGAATGCACTTAATCAAATAGTCAGCACCACACCGCTTCCGGCCTCCCTGCCTTTGCAGCGTTCTTCCACTGGTTGGCGTATGATGCATGAAGCGTGCGAGTGTAGACGACAATAAGAACAAAATTTGCATCCACGGGCGTCCCATTGCAAGGGCCGGCACTGTGAGTAACACGAGAGAGTAGCTGCAGCTCCAGGAGAATGGGAGAGGAAGCGGCACCCGGGGCTGAATTTCAATCGGCTGGGAGAGATTGCAGCGGAAATTTGGCAGCATCCAGGTCCACCTAAAGCCATGGTAGTCTTTTAGCGATCCTCTTGACACTCAAGGCTGAGTCTAGCTGATTCTGCCATCGTCTTCCTTGAAACCGGAGCCTTCATCACCTGTGTTCAACTGAGCATTTCTCGGTAATAGTGCTGCATTTCAGTAGGTAGTCAAAGCAAGTCTTTCGCTCAGGACATCGTTGACCACATGCATCTCGGACTGAATGCTTCGTTCCAGCGAGCGTTATCCATGACCCGCCTAGCTGCGAACCTCTTCGTAAACACATCTCGTAGGAAGACACGCTCCCTCTCGCTCACTCTCTCTCTCTCTCTCTCTTTGTTTTTTTTTTCTTTCCCCCCCTCTCTCCCTCTCTCGCTCTCGCCCTCTCTCTCTTTGTCTCTTTGTCTCTTTGTCTCTTTGTCTCTTTGTCTCTTTGTCTCTTTGTCTCTTTGTCTCTTTGTCTCTTTGTCTCTTTGTCTCTTTGTCTCTTTGTCTCTTTCTCTCTTTCTCTCTTTCTCTCTTTCTCTCTTTCTCTCTTTCTCTCTTTCTCTCTTTCTCTCTTTCTCTCTTTCTCTCTTTCTCTCTTTCTCTCTTTCTCTCTTTCTCTCTTTCTCTCTTTCTCTCTTTTCTCTCTTTCTCTCTTTCTCTCTTTCTCTCTTTCTCTCTTTCTCTCTTTCTCTCTTTCTCTCTTTCTCTCTTTCTCTCTTTCTCTCTTTCTCTCTTTCTCTCTTTCACTCTTTCACTCTTTCACTCTTTCGCTCCTTCACTATTTCACTCTTTCTCTCTTTCAGTCTTTCACTCTTTCACTCTTTCACTCTTTCACCTCTTTCCCTTTCTCTTTCCCTTTCCTTTTCCCTTTCTCTCTCTCTCTCTCTCTCCTCTCTCTCTCTCTCTCTCTCTCTCTCTCTCTCTCTCTCTCTCTGTAAATTGGACACGGGACTTGCTCCGAATGTTACCCGAGGTTCGAGCACTGGGACTTCTCAGCCCAGCTCCAAGGGCTCATGAAGACGCCCGGAAGCCACAAATGACACGCACATGCGCGCACAAGGGCTACTTCGGAGTCTTTGAGTGTTTCAAAAATTGAAAGATGGAAGAAGGTTACGGGCATTTCTTGCTGAAGTCTTGCTTGGGTTTCGGTTTCGACCATGGGCCTTTTCAGTTACATCCAGCTCGTAAGCCGCCACAGAAATTCAGAAACGGTTCTGCCCCCCGAAAGCTCTTCAGGAACGACTTCCGTGCGCCCGACACCATCAAACACCTCTTCCCGCGGCATGTGGCCAAATGGCAGGAGAAGCTCATCAAGGACTCAATTCTCAATATTCGAGCGGGGGCGTATTGTTTTGGGGTGAGATTTGAAGACCTCCGCTGTTCTACGCCCTGTCCCATTTTCCTAAAGTTCTCAAGTGGCAATGGCCTCAGGACAATATCCCAGACAGAGAGATGTCCAAGTTCGAAGAGATCCGGCAGTTTTTCTTCCTGTATGAGACCACTGGAAGCAACATGACGCTTGTCCGGTGGTCCGACTGTTTGGGGGAGGTCCGTGGCCCGCCCTTTTGCAGAAACCGAGGTTGAACAACAACTGGCCCAGTAGGACTCAGCAGGATCCAGTACTGTAGCTGCACAGCCCACAGGCTGAAACGAAATGGTTCAAATTAGTCCCTAAACATCCCTAAACCCTAAACCCTATACCCTATACCCTATAGACCCTAAACCCTGTAGACCCTAAGCCCTAATTGTGTCCTGTCACAAATGCCATCCTCAGGACGCACTGCAGCTTGATGGGCGCGGGTCTTGGATAGTCTTGGCTTCCTCCACATGTGCAGGACTGTATTGTTTCCTGAGCCCAGTCACCAGGTACCACCGATCTCTTCACCACCACCGGAAAGTGGTACTTCCCAGATGCTCCAGATGTGCAAAGGCAGCTCTTCGAGAATGTCGCCTGGCTCTTCGACAGGACGCGCGCTTCGGTAGCTTGAGGGGTTCGCACTGCACCTCTGGATGTGGGCATATGAGCTGCCGAGAGGAACATCCACCATTACATCTCCGAGCGGCAAACGGCAAAGTTTCCCTTCATTGAGGATTTCGATATCCAGGCACTCCGTTGTGTTGAAGTGAGAATCCTTCGTTTGCCAACCCTGACAGCAAGAACACGTCGGAACACGGTCCACCTCCAACTTCGTACCAGATGCTTTATGCCATATCCGTTATGCCTTCCATGCCCAAGTGCAAGCCGAAGAAAGGCTTTAACTTCAATCCACGAGACTTAAGTCTACAAGGCGGCGAAGGACTACAAGCCCATTCCAGAAGGGCGCGAGTACGCAGACCCCCCTGATGCGACGGGGCAGCTGTTTGGGCAAGACTGGTCTGGTTCGCTCGGGTTCATGAGGGCTGTCGGCGCCTTGCGAAAAGGAAAGAGTTGCTGGATTGGAGGGACCCCTACGTTTCCTCAAGCCATGAAAGAACGTGTTACTGACGTGCATCTTGGCGCAATCTTACAACCATGCCGACCAATTGTAGGCTCTTGCACCGGGCTCTACACTACCTCAAAAAGGAAATGGCTGAAGGACAAACTAAAGCTATGCTCCAGTCCACCAAAATCTGCCAAGGATCTTATCATGCACAAGCCAAAGCGTTATGGCCCCGAGCCCTCCGACGTGAGCGGCGACCCCCAGCCGCATTCACAAGACACCCGGTTGTCGCGGCTGTAGCGGCCTTGGTCAGTTGAGAGAGCCTTCTTCCATGTTCAGCCATGAATAAATAGGAGATCGGGAACATGGGATCGACTTTCTTGTTTGTATGGACTGCTCAGTTAGCTAGGAAGACGAACCCGCTGCAAGATCATATTCCTAGCAGGACTGCAGACAAAGCACTCAGACTCCCTGAGGATCCTGGATCTATGATGAAGCACCGAGCACACGCGATCCACATGCTTTATCCACACCTTGATGAGCTCTATTGCGCCCTGCCTTGTCTTTGTACTCCAAGTATATACGAGTTTTGCCTGGACGGTCAGGGCACGCATGTGGTAGGAATCTTTGAGACAATGGGTGAGGGGGCGAGAACGATGTGTGATTTGAAAGATGGAATGGTGTTTGGCCTTGTCCGAAAGGCTTGGTGTATTCCGCATCCGGCTTCAACAAGGGGAAGGAGTTGGTGAAGTCCTCTTTCCACTTGGATACTCGGCCCACGATATGAGCGGGCTGCTTTCCACGTTCCGAGCTGCTCTATCGAACGACATGTAGACAGGTGTGGCCACAGCTTGTTGTCGATCCTGACCGGGCCAAAGTCATCCGTACCTGAGCTATGCATGATGATTTCATGCCCTTGCTTACAAGAAACGCCGTCGGTCCCATGCACGGCATCCGGCCTGACTGTGGCAGACCAAGGCTACGTAACGCTGGGCGTCTTCAAGAATGAGACCAACAAGAAAGGAGGGAGTCAATCACGGCCACAGTTGCTCTAGACGAGTGCATTGATAGCTCAGAGTTCGGGTTGGTGCAGGATCCGACATTCACCAACTGCAGCAGAAGCTCATGGAACTGGACAAATGCAATGAGTGGGAGACCCTGGGCTGCACGAGGACTTGCCTGGTCTCTTTAGCCCATTCTTTTTTGGCTCTTTCTTTCAGAGGGTCTTGCTCTCCAGAGTCACTCAAACAAATCGTTAAGAGGTACTAAGAAGTCACACGAGATTGGGCAGCCAATGTCTCTCGCCACTCTCACCCACTGCCCCCATTGGTTCGGAGCTAAAGCGTTGCTTGATTACATTACTCCCTTAGGAACTGGTTTGCGGTGCCAGCCGTGCAGCCAGGCTCGTTTTCGACAGCACCACCATCAACGCCAGAAATGGCTTGAGACTGCCCTACTCTGACAAAGCCTCCATGGTCGTCAAAGATCCGGACCCTTTGCGGGGCAATGCTGAAACCTCCTGCATAAAATGGCCACACCTGAAGCCAAGGCTTGGGGGCCCCAGGAGCCTCCACAGGAAACCCGTTAAGTGAGTAGCCGGTTGAGCCTCCTGGCCTGACCAGACTGACCGCGCCAGGAGGATAAAGCAAGGATCAAGCGAGGGGAGCTCTCGAAGAATTCCGCTTTCAAGGCCTGCGAGGGCTTGTTCGGGATTCTGTCAGAGCATGCCGCCTTAAAAGTAAACCCATCCTCATTGCATTTTTCTTGCGCAAATTCTGAGCTTCGCCCCCACGGCTTCGCTTGCTGAACCGCGGGATTCTGAGACTTGTGAGCCCAATACATGACTGGGAGTCGCATCCCCAGCAGCTCGCTGACTTCCCCAATATCCCCAATGCGATCCCACGCGCACGAAAGATCCGTTGTGAATCCCGAAGTCCCAAAATGTCCCAAAGCTCAAGAATGTGAGAGCTTTCTGTCATTTCATGTCCCCCTCTATGCTCGCAGGTCCGCGTCGTGGAGGGGCGGCCCTCCAAACCGGTGGGGCGCATCAATTTCACATTCGCAAAGGCCGCTGACGAAGCGTTCAGGTTAGGGGGTTTTGGACTGGACGAGCTTTGGTAGATCACAGCTACGCCGACAGCTGCCAGCTATGTTGCCACTACGTGCTTCTCACGTGCGACCCGTAGCAAGTGCAGTGAAAGTGATAGTGCAATAGCGAGGAATCAGTTTAGATGCCATCGCTCAACAGTTTTAGATGTCAGCCTCAGAGCTGCACATCCTCTTGCCGACAGCTCAGAGCCCGCAAACGGTCCTGCAGTGCCTTGCTAATGAGTTGAGGATGAAGATGCTGGCATTGATCGACTGGTGAAAGCCGAGTGGGTCCAGGACAGCTTCGCGCACAAGCCCCTGTTTGTCGCACAATTTCTGCTGTGATTTCCGCACATGCAGAACAGTACAGTAGCTTCTTGCAGACACAACTTCCCGTGGCCAGGACGAATCATCGCAGGAGAAATCAGAGCACCGTGGCATGAAATTGGGCACAGCGGGCACAGCCTGTCATGCTTGAGTCGCAGGGTGATGTGTCAAGATGCTCCCATCCTCAGTTTTAGAGCAGGTAGCAAGGATAAGCATCAACAGCAGAGGTGGATCCGCACGGGCTCCTGCCGACTCGACCAGGGAGACATGGAGTCGACGAGGTCTCCTTAGGCCCTAAATCCGAACCTCTCAGACTTCAAGAGGTTTAAATCGGCCCTATCTGGAGGTGGCTGGGATTCGTATGCAGTTTTCAAGAGTTTTGGGTGCAGGATGGTGTAGGGCATGGCTGATTCTTGACTGCGCAGCGCCAAACTCTGCTAGTTGCAGGCAGCCCTTGCAGAAGCGGACTGGCAAACCAACAAACCTTTCAAAACTCTTTCCTGATACTCGCTCTAAGACCTAAGCCCCATTTCAGCACCAAGACTCCTACAATGCTTTGTATGAGGATGACGCCCTGGCAGATGGGGCCGGACCGCTATGGTTTGGGATGCTTCTGCTTGAACTGGACGCACCAGGTAGCTCTTGAGAGTGAAGCCGGTAGGTCGAAGCGGCTTCTGATGAGATGTGTGATGTATCGGCCAAGGCATACCGCCATAGACTGCAGTATGCCTTCGTTAGGAGACTGGCTATAGTAAGGTGTGACAGCAGTTTTTTAGGCCTGAGAAGGCATAGAGCTCATGCAGCATTGATTCAGACAGTACAAGCACAAGAGATGCGTGAATCCCCGATCGATGTGATTGTAGCTTCTGCTTCCTCAGCTGCGGAGGACGTCATGTCGTTGTTGCCCAAGAGACCAGGCCACTTGCCTCACTCGAGATATTCAATGGAGGGCCTTTATGGTTGGACTTTTCTTTGTTTTGGTAACTTTTCTGTGGCAACCCCCCCCCCCCCCCCCCCCCTCCTTCTTGAGTTCTGCACCCTGGATCACTCTTTGTGCAAATGGAGGCGGCGTG